GCCCTGGTGCTGGCGCTGCTGGGCACGCTGCCCGCGGGCACCAGGGCGCAGCCCTACCACGGCGAGAAGGGTATCTCGGTGCCGGACCACGGCTTCTGCCAGCCCATCTCTATCCCGCTGTGCACGGACATCGCCTACAACCAGACCATCCTGCCCAACCTGCTGGGCCACACGAACCAGGAGGACGCGGGCCTCGAGGTGCACCAGTTCTACCCTCTGGTGAAGGTGCAGTGTTCGCCTGAACTGCGCTTCTTCCTTTGCTCCATGTACGCGCCCGTGTGCACCGTGCTGGACCAGGCCATCCCACCGTGCCGCTCCTTGTGTGAGCGGGCCCGCCAGGGCTGCGAGGCGCTCATGAACAAGTTCGGTTTCCAGTGGCCGGAGCGGCTGCGCTGCGAGAACTTCCCAGTGCACGGCGCCGGCGAGATCTGCGTGGGTCAGAACACGTCCGACGGCTCGGGGGGCCCGGGCGGCGGCCCCACCGCCTACCCCACTGCACCCTACCTGCCGGACCTGCCGTTCACCGCTCTGCCCCCGGGGGCCGCGGATGGCAGGGGCCGCTCTGGTTTCCCCTTCTCTTGCCCCCGCCAGCTCAAGGTTCCCCCCTATTTGGGCTACCGCTTTCTGGGAGAGCGCGATTGCGGTGCCCCGTGTGAGCCGGGCCGAGCCAACGGCCTCATGTACTTCAAGGAGGAGGAGAGGCGCTTCGCCCGCCTCTGGGTGGGCGTGTGGTCCGTGCTGTGCTGTGCCTCCACGCTCTTCACCGTGCTCACGTACCTCGTGGACATGCGGCGCTTCAGCTACCCAGAGCGACCCATCATCTTCCTGTCGGGCTGTTACTTCATGGTGGCCGTGGCGCACGTGGCGGGCTTCCTGCTAGAGGACCGCGCAGTGTGTGTGGAGCGCTTCTCGGACGACGGCTACCGCACGGTGGCGCAGGGCACCAAAAAGGAGGGCTGCACCATTCTCTTCATGGTGCTGTATTTCTTCGGCATGGCCAGCTCCATCTGGTGGGTCATCCTGTCTCTCACTTGGTTCCTGGCCGCGGGCATGAAGTGGGGACACGAGGCCATCGAGGCCAACTCGCAGTACTTCCACCTGGCCGCGTGGGCCGTGCCCGCGGTCAAGACCATCACCATCCTGGCCATGGGCCAGGTTGACGGGGACCTGCTCAGCGGGGTGTGTTACGTGGGCCTGTCGAGCGTGGATGCACTGCGAGGCTTCGTGCTGGCACCGCTCTTCGTGTACCTGTTCATCGGCACGTCCTTCCTGCTGGCCGGCTTTGTGTCGCTCTTCCGAATCCGCACCATCATGAAGCACGATGGCACCAAGACGGAGAAGCTGGAGAAACTCATGGTGCGCATTGGCGTGTTCAGCGTGCTCTACACGGTGCCGGCCACCATCGTGCTGGCCTGCTACTTCTACGAGCAGGCCTTCCGCGAGCACTGGGAGCGCACCTGGCTGCTGCAGACTTGCAAGAGTTATGCCGTGCCCTGCCCACCGGGCCACTTCCCCCCCATGAGCCCCGACTTCACGGTCTTCATGATCAAGTACCTGATGACCATGATTGTGGGCATCACCACTGGCTTCTGGATCTGGTCAGGCAAGACCCTGCAGTCGTGGCGTCGCTTCTACCACAGACTCAGCCATAGCAGCAAGGGGGAGACTGCGGTATGAGCCCTGGCGCATCCCCCACCTTTCCACCCTCTCCCGGGGCAAGAGGAGACTCAGGAGAGGAGGATCTGCTAGGTGGGAGCTTACGTCCTAACTCTAGGCCCGCCTAGAGATTTGGGGGTGGGGGGTGGTTTGGAGAGGATCCCTGGGGGTGGTGGGGAGAGGCCGTTGGGACTTCTGGTGGAGACTTGCAGGAGGACTGAGATAACGACGGTGATGAAGATGAAAAAGCAGCGATGGTGGTAATCGTGGGCGGTACTGGCCGGCTTGGCCTGCTGAAAAGATTGAGGCCAGCAGGGATGGCTAGGGCCTGCCTGGCTCCAGGGCTGAGCTGAGCAGTGACATCCCCCAGCTGCAGACAAGTGGCTGCCCTCACTCCTCTGAGGCCCGGGAGAGGCAGGCTGGGTCTGCAGAAGCTTTGCTGGGAAGCGGCAGGACCCCTGCGGTGGCCTTGTCAAGCGCTGGTCAAACCATAATCTCTTTTCACTGGGGCCAAACTGGAGCCCAGATGGGTTAATTTCCAGGGTCAGACATTACAGTCTCTCCTCCCCTACCCCCTCCAGGCTGTTTTTCCTCCCCTACTCCTTTCAAGTCTCCTAAAATAAGCATTTGGAACTCCTGGGAGGCCTGCCTGCTAGAATCCTAATGTAAGGATGCAAAAAGACGTGACAATAACATTTCAAGATGAGGGCAAGGAGATGAGAAGTAGGCATTATCTGGGAAAGGCAGGAGACAGAAAAGGGTGTTTTATTTGGTTTAATACCCTAAAAAGAAGTGATGACTTGTTGCTTTTCAAAACAGGAATGCATTTTACCCCCTAGTCTTTGTTGTAAGAGACAAAAGAGGAAACAAAAGTGTCTCCCTGTGGAAAGGCATAACTGTGAAGACGGCAACTTTTACAAGCAAAGCAGTGCAAATCTGAGGTTTCCCTTGGGTTTTTAATTTAGTTGAGATGAACATTGCTTTTTAAGGAAAAGTGAAGGATGGTGTGCTGCCATACCTCGTTCAGCCAAAGGTTCTGACTTAAAGGAAATGCAAAGGATTTTGTTGCTTGTTTTAAATACATTTAATTCAGAACATACTATTGAACAGGCCCTCTTAAAATGTTTAGCGAAATATCTCCCTTTATTTTTCCCCCTTTCTTTAAGCCTACATTTAAATTTTTTTCAATTTGGATCCTTCAGGATAAAAGGAAAAGCATATGCCTTAACATTATGATAAAGGAAAGTTAAATGGACTATTTTGTACACTTTCTGTGTTTCATAAATCTTTATAAAACATGTGTCCCGACCCCGTCTTTGGTTGAGTGGGGAGGGGATCTGCAAAAATGATAGTGAATGAAGAGAAAAGTTTGAACAATGGGCACTGTTTTTAACGAAAGGTCATTAAAAGAAAGTAAACTTCAAAGTGATTCTGGAGTTCTTTGAAATCTGCTGGAAGACTTAAATTTATTAATCTTAAATCATGGTTTTTTTTTCTGTAATAGAACTGTAGTTCTTTTGCATAATGGTATAAAGCTGAGCCTCCATTACTCCACCTTTGACACCACCCTCAATCTTGCAAATGATCTTGCTTCTCAGCTTTTAAATGCCAATCAGAGGGTACTGCCGGGAGTATTAAGTTACTTTATATATGTAGTGTTCAGTTGAGTTGAGCTGCTTTTACATTAAATTTAAAGTTGATCTTGTGTTCCTTAAACCTTCAAAACTGTCTCACCTGTCAGAAGTTTTTTTTAACTGCCACTACACAGGTTTTGGCATCTTTTGTGTTATTATCTCTTAAGTGCATGTGAAATTTGTAAAATAGAAACAAGTGCAGTATGTATATTTTGTAAATCTCCCGTTTTTGTAAGAAAATATATATTGTATTTATACATTTTTACTTTGGGTTTTTGTTTTGTTTTGCTTTCAGAGTCTACAATGAAGCCTCCACTTTATCACATGTACAGATCACAAATAAATTTTTTAAAAAATAGCAAATTTAATGTTCATTTAAACTGAAACAAAACTTTACTGTGGAAAAAAGTATGAGAGATACACGGTTGGACATGTCCTCCATAAAGGAGGCTTGTATACATTACTAAGGTTTTTTTTCCCCCTCTGACTTTTAATATACAAAGTGTAATCAACGTTTTGACCACCCTTTTTTTTTTTTTTTTCTGTTGTCACTGCTTCCTGCCTTGCTTTGAATAACTGAGAATACAGAACAGCATTTCTTTTAGAGAAATGTCTGATCTGTGTGTTTACTGCCTATGGGGAGTGACTTCCATATTTGAAAGAGTACCAGAAGATATTCTTGGTGTTTTCTGCTTTTTTGGTGAGATTTCCTTGGGAAGAATTCATTGAGTTTTTTTTTTTTTAACAAATTGAGATTTTTGTATTCAAATGCATTTTATCTAAATTGTTGATATGTAAATGTTTTGGGGTCTGGTAGTTGAAAAAGTCAGGATGCTCCGAGATGAGAGCAGAGCCCCCACTGCAGATCTAGCCAAAGGCTTCACACCACTTTCTAGGTGGACTGTGACTCAGCAGCTCTGGCAGGCACAGACTACAGGCCTGACCTTGTGAGGGTCTTGAGCCACTGGGCTATGCCTTGCTCTTGCAGAGTCTAACTTTGGAATGAAGTGGGACCAGAAAACCCTTGCTCTCTAGGCATTTTGATATTAAACAGTACTTCAGGGAAATGATCAGTGTATTCTTACATTCCTAATTCTGAGCCTCACTAGAATTTTTTTCTTTTTCTTCTCATTAGCTCAGGTGCCAGTTTCCTGGCTTTTTATAAATCAGCCAATTCATTCTCCTGCAGCAGACTGGGTGCTGTTACTTCTGTTCTGCTTTGGCTGAAAGTTTCTGTAGCTCTAAAGCACAACAGAAACAGTTTTGTTTTTATTTTAATTAACAGGCTCACACACATGGCTGGGTGTTTTACAAAAGGCAAGGAATGAAAACAAGTGACAGTTCTGGGAGGAGGTTGCATCCTCCTCTTGTAGGCACTCTCAGTGCTGCGCAGTTTTCTTTACGAGCCTCCTGGGTTTTGAACATTACAATCCGTGTGAGATCATCCTGACCTGTGAGGATTTGGGCATCAAGGAAGGAATAAAACAGCAATTTTGAGTCTCTTAATGTTTATCCTGTTTTTGCTCATAAAATGACACCCTTTGGGTTAAAGCATGCCTCTTTTTAACACTCTTCTAATACTGCCTGTTAGGAATGTTTGCTTTCAGAGTAGGTGGATGGCTCCCAGTGGGGTTTTCCCCCCCCCCCTGCAAATTAACTGCCGAAGACACTTAGACCCTTCCAGGGTAGAGCTGTGTGGCTGCTCCCAAGATCACTTCCTATTCCTCTGCACTGCCTGGTCTTTTGGGGCTCTCAGATTGAAAGTGTTGGTCTTCAGTGAGGGAACAAAGCCACCTCTGAATAGACTGCTACCTGCTTTTTGGTAAACAAAGATAAAAGTGTGCACTTTAATTCCTTCCACACTGAGATGCCTTCTTAGGCAGTGCATTCTCACCTAAGACTTGGAAGCTGGGGATTTTTCTTAAGGAGATATATTTTACCAGAAAATATGTGAAGGAGAGTGTTTTGTGAAAGGGCACACATAGAGTTTTAAGAAAAACATTGGCACAAGTTTGGTGTTAATCCCTAGATAAGGAGCAGAAACACTTGTGAAATTTTTTGCAGTTTATAAAACAAAACTAGTCTATATAACAATCCGTGCAACACCTAATGTTCCTAAATAGGTAAGTGAGAAATTTTGGCAAGAAAAGATATTTGTCTGGTTAACATCTTATAATTAAAATGTTTGGGCTGGGGATTTGGCTCGGTGGTTCTGCCGCCTGCCTCACAACGCAGCAAGTGCAAGGGCCCAAGTTCAGTCCCCAGTACCCAAAAATAAAAATGTTTAGTGTATTTGATATAAAATAGTGCTATTACAAATTCTCTGGGTAGGATTATAGTAGTACAACAGCTGTAGGTTTGAGTGCCGTAATTACACTGGGAAAAATCTAATGCTCCCATCTTTAATTTCACTGAAAAGGCAGATGGCTATTTATAGATGGTATATTTTTATATATGCATATGTGAACGGTGAATAACAGTCTACAGGGCTCCAGGAAATCCTAGAAGGGACCAAAAACACTCCGATGTGGACTTAAATAAGCAATTGGTAGATGTGTTCTATTTTTCTCTTCTTTCTCCCTCACTGCATTAAAGTGGCTTCATAAAATTTGGTTCTTAAGCTCTACTTTCTATTGTGACTTTTCTTACATTTAAACCTGTATTTCTCATATTTCATATAACTAGTTAAGAGTATACCATCAAAATGTCAGCTCTCTGGTAAACACACACTGAATCTCTTGTTTTCTTTGGTTGTTTTAAGGCGGGTAAAAGGCACAGTCTTTCAGAATTTTCTCCATTAGCACCTCAGTGGGAGTGGAGGGAGCAAATTCAACAACAGAAGTTTATTATAAGTGTTCAGTTCAACAAGCACTGATCAAGCAGCCACCAAACAGCAGGTAGCAGACAACAGGTGACAGCATGAAAGACAAAGTCCACTAATGTAACTCTCAATCTACTCAGAGTGGAGAGGGTGTCCCCAAGGAAGAATAATGCTGGGTAGAACCCAGCAAGGATCAGGATAGAGGCACAAGTCTATTTGTAATAATATTACCTGACACTTGGTGGTATTTACTGCTTTAAAAAGCTCCTTTCAATTCATTATTTAATTTTATCCACAATATTCCAACCCTGGAATGGAAAATAATTCCTATTTGAAAGATGAATAGGGGCTGGGGATTTAGCTCAGTGGTTCTACCACCTGCCTTGCAAGCAAAAGGACCTGACTGAGTTCAATCCCACTACCAAAAAAAAAAAAAAAAAAAAAAAAAAAAAAAAAAAGATGAAATTTAGAGACTCCATGAGGTGTAACAGATAGAGATGGAATGAATCTCCTTTGCTCACACAAAACTCGACGTACTTTCAGAAGTGGGATTTGAACCCACGCCTCCATTAAGAGACCAGAATCAACAAAATTTCTTAATCTGCAGCCTGGCCTCTCTTGCCAGGTCCTCTGTAGGTACAGTGGTGCGAATGATCCATTCAAT